ACACACACACACACACACACACACACACACATACACACTATGGAATATTAGCCATAAAAAAGAACAAAATCTTGCCATTTGCAATGACGTGGATGGAGCTAGAGAGTATTATGCTACATGAAATAAGTCAGAGAAATACAAATATCATATGATTTCAATCATGTGGAAATTAAAAAATAAATCAGATGAATATTGTGGGGAGAAAGGGAGGCAAACCAAGAAACAGACTCTTAATCATAGAGAACAAACTGATCATTACTGGAGAAGTGGGCAGGGGGGTGAGTTAAATGGTTGATGGATATTAAAGAGGGCACTTGTGATGAGCACTGGGTCTTGTGTGTAAGTGATGAATCACTAAATTCTACACCTGAAACTAATATTACACTGTATTTAACTAACTGGAATTTAAATAAAAACTTGAAAAAAACACATGCTGTCCTAAGAAAAAAATCATACAGATACATCAAGATATATCCTTTTAAAGTAATTGGAATTCTTAAATAAAAGATACATTTGTATGGACTTCTAGGCCATAAAATCAAGTCCTCTATTATATAAGAGATTCTCAGTCTTGTCTTAAATTTCTTCCTAACAACATTCAGTGCTAGAATTGAGCATAGCAATCAATGTCTATATGGACATCAGAGAGAGAATGTGACCCATGAATTGTACAACATCCCAACTACAATTCAAGTATAAACACAATTGACAGATAATTTTACACATGCAAGATAGTAGGAAATATGATTCCCATGAGCCCTTCTTAAAAAACTTCTAGAGACAGCTTTGAGGTAACTAAGCAATGAATGGAAAAATGGATAAAAGGACTATTTTGAGAAGATGGCCCATTTAAATGTGGAACTATGACTAAACTATAGGAATTATGACTGCATAAAAGCATGTAAATTCTACAAACTTTGACAATGCAGAAATAGCATTATAACAAACAATAGTTGAGAAATGACAGGGACTGACAGAGAAGGTCAGAGGTAAAACAAGTATACTAATTTTCTCATGTCTTGAAGTGTGTAAGGGGTCAGTAGACCCTGTTCATAGATGACAAATCAATTATTAGATGGATAAATATATTTTAAGGATACAAAGGCAACAACTAGACTAAGTATAATAATAAAACCAGCCAAAATTTCCTATGATAGAGTGGATATAGTTACTAGAAATATGCTTATTTCTTCATAATTTACAGCAAGGAGTTAATGAATTCTATCTAAATAGCGAAAATCTATTCTAAAATTTTGCCAACTCACCAGTCTGTATTCTATGAAATATATCTTTTCCTCCAGTTTGAAAAATCTTCATTATCTTTTCTCTTCTCCATGATTCTTCATATTACTGGAATGGTTCTGGGACCACATCTGCCAGTTCTTTTTAGCATCTTTGGATAGTCTTCATCTAGATCTAGAGATCTGAACTCTTTTAAAGCAGCCAAGGACAATAATCTTGATTTCACAGTATTTATGTTTTATTCATACCAGTTATAGTTGGTTTATTGTTTTTTTTTCTTTTTACCTCCTTCCCATTTCTCCACCAGTCCAACTAACATTTATTCAGCTTTTATTACAAATCAGGTACTGTGCAAGAATGTTGGCTAGTTAGAAAGATGATGCAGATAAGACCCTGCCCTCAAGATATTCAGTCTAGTGAGGAGGCAGATAAACAACTCTAATACAAATACAGGATTTTAATAATAGAAACACTCTTCCCCTACCACAATAAAAGCTAAAACTATCTGGATGATTCTTAGAAAGATTCTATAGAGAAAATAGCATTTCATATGGGTCTTGAAGAATGAGTGGATCTTCCCCAGGCAGGAAAAAAAGAAAAGAACATTCTAGGTAGAATGTAAAAAAAAAATAAGCAAACATACAGAAGGAGTAATGATCACTTTAGTTTGACTATAATTAGAATATACTGAAAAGTGAGGAGCAGAGTTGGCCCTGGAGATTGTACACTTTTCTGAGTAGCTTTATAAATACAGTGTGTTCCCCTTGAGTTTAGTAGTATCATACTTAGGATTGGTCCCTCACCACAAGATGTCAACACTCCAAGATACCTACCCTGTTTTACCCCCAGCAAACACTCCACATTGCCAAGAAACACTCCAGTTGAGAATTGGATTGATGACCCCAGTGAATAGCACACAGCCTTGGCCAGTTCCCAAAGGCTGCAGGCTGCCCACTCCTGGTTCCAATACAGTTCTCTCAGGGAGTGCTTCCCAGCCCCCACCTTTGCTCTATCTCACCTTCATCTCCAGGGCCTCTGGCACCTTCTTGCCTTCCCAAGCCCAACTCCGCTTGGTGAAGTAGTTAACAGTGGCAAATTCAATCAGCGCAGAAAATACAAAGGCATAACAGACGGCTATGAACCAATCCATGGCCGTCGCGTATGCCACTTTAGGTAAGGAGTTTCTGGCACTGATACTCAAGGTGGTCATGGTGAGAACAGTGGTGACACCTGGGGAGAAAGAAAATGAGAACCAGTTGCCAGTGGAAGACATTTAGAGCATATGTGATGAGATCACCAACTTCCTACTTACAAGGAGGAGCTATACCCCACTCAAAATGACCCCCTTAAAGTAAAATACAGAGAATGTCAATGTGGGATGGTTCTACCTAGTAACTACCCCATCCTAGTTATCACAGGAATAGTAAGCTCCGGTAAAGCACTTTTAAACGTTGTCCTGTAGTTTCTGCTTAAACATTTCTATTGAAGAACAGGTAACCTATTTCATTGTAACAGAACTTTTTAATTAGAAAACCCTACCTTCATTAGAATACCTTCTTTAATTAGAAAACCTTCAGTCTGAGCTGAAACCTGCCTTCCTCTAACTCCTAGCCCACTGACTGATCTTAGAATTCTTTCTCTGGCAACACAGGAAAGAAAAGCCTGCTTCCTCCTCCTCTCCCCTTCAGGGAGTTGGAGACGGTGGCCATGATTCCTTGTGAATCTATTAATCTCCAGGATGAACATGGCCACTTTCTTCTCTTGTTTCTCCTCCTTCTCTTCTGGTAGTTTTCTTTTGAACAGCCCATAACTGAACTCAACACTCAGGATCTTCACTTCCCTTACTGTGGACAGTATTTTCCTAATACTGTAAAAAAACACTGTAGAAAATGGTTCTTTAACTTCACCAAAGTCTTTGTACTATTGAGCTTTGTGGACAACCAAAGCTATTCCAATATCTATTTCTCTTTTTTTAAGTTTATTTATTTAGTATGAGTGGGGAAGGGGCAGAGGGAGGGAGGGAGGGAGAGAATCCCAAGCAGGCTCTATGCTGTCAGTACAGAGCCTGACATGGGGCTTGATCTCATGAACCATGAGATCATGACCTGAGCTGAAATCAAGAGTTGGGCACTTAACTAACTGAGACACCCAGGCAGCCCTCCAATATCTATTTCTTGTGAGTTTTTATCAAGCCAGGATTTTTTTAAATAAATTGATTCTTTTTCTTGGTGGCGTTATTAAACTAAATTTAAGATTTCCCTTTATTCACTTTTAAATTCTATTAAAATCATTTTTCTAATCTTCATTTTATATATACATATGAGCTATATAGTGTTGCGGCTAATGAGTGAGCTTTACAGTCAAATTGATAATAGGCTGACATTCTGGCAATTCCACTTACTGGTAATATACCTTGAACAAGGTGATATATCCCACAAAGCCAGTTTTATCATGTGTAAACTGTGTGTGATCTTACCAGCCTCAGAAATTTGTTTGGGGTTCCAGTGAGATGATGTTTATAAAGCCCATAACACAATATCTGGTAAAGAGTAAGCACTCAAGAAATAGTAGCTTCTATAATTAACATTACTCTTATTTTCACTGTTGTTAATAATCTTGTCATAATTATATGATTAATTATAGTGGTATAATTATAAACAAATTTTAAACAATAACACTATAATAATAATTTTATAATTGTTAGCAATAGTATTCTAGCCTCAAATACCTGCACTAGAAGTCCTGAGTTCTGACATTTACTTGTTTCATATCTTTGGCAATTTATTTGATCTCTCTATGCATCCGTTCTGCCTATCTATGAATATTTCCTAAGTCTCTATACCCTAGAATTTTGACAAGATACTTGTTATACCCAAAATCATCCAGATTTGAGGACAGGGGAGTAGTCAGACCTTCTTTCTGAGTGTTGGCATGCTCAAGAGGATAGGGAATGTAAGTCTGGGTCAAATAGGGCATAGAAAGAAGTCTTAATGTGGTGAGAGATATTATATAGAAAAGCAAGCAAATAAGGCCTATCTATTAACTCTACCCAGAGAGTCAGCCATGTGTGCTGCAGCCTCTTGGGCCTTCTTTCACATCTTGCTCCCTCAAGTACCTTACTTATACGTTTGCTATATAAATGAAAATCCAGACTGGAAAAGACTTAGTACAGTTTCAACAGAGAGATCCTAAGGAAGCACCTTTGTACAAACTAGGTAGTCAGCAAGGCTGATTGCAAAACCAAATTTTAATCCCTATCAGGAATCAGCCACATAGCCAGTACCTATTAACAATCTATCTGAGTATGTTGCCTGGTAAGTTCTGGGACTGAACCCAAGGGTCAGTAATCCTCTGACCACACTGAGCAAGGAGTGATTCATGGGAGAAACAAGCTACCTTACTTATGGTTATTAACAAATGCAGTTGTCTACCCTGGCACAGTCATAGCAGTGTGCCTATGCATGGATGGAGAGAACTATACTGCAACATAAGTGTTTCTGTATCATATCTCAGTAGAAATTTTTATGTTTTAGCCTCTAGAGCTTCATTAGAATAGTCATCTTGTGAAGAATTCTTAGCTAGTCAGCTGGTAGGATCCTCAATCAAACATTTACATTTTATGGATGAACAATGAGGTTTGGCATTTTAAGAGATCCAGTCTTACCACCCAGTACTTCTCTTTCAAGACTCTTCTAGAAAGTATTTTGTGACTGCCCCACCTCACTTCCATGAGCACTTCTAAAAATCTAGGACACTTCTTTGAGAACACATGTCTGTCTGTACTACCAAAGCAGGAATTGCTTGAGAATAGGGATCATGAGTAATCTGTCTCTATCCCCTCAACCTTGAATATATACCTGGGACAGAGTAAGCCCCTAGTACATGTGTGATGCATGAAACTGCTCTACCCTCCCTGGCCCTAGATAACTACTCCTCTGTTTTCTTTCAGTATGGTTACATTTTTTTCCCTTAGAGTTTCATACATATCATATAGTATGCACTCATTTGTGTTTGGCTTTCCTCACTTAGCATAGTATTCTTTAAATTCACTCATGTTGTTGCATCTATCTTTAGTTCATTCCTGTTAATTTCAGAGTAGCATTCCACTGCATTGATATAACAATTTGTCCATTCACCTATTAACGGACATCTGGACTATTTCCAATGTTCAACTATTATGAATGAAGCTTCTGGGAAGATTTACATATAAGTCTTTGTGTGAGCATATGTTTTCATTTTTCCTAGAAAACACTTAGAGATGCAACTACATGATTATATTGTAAGTAAACCTTAACTATAGGAGACTGCCAAACAGCTTTTTAAAGTGCATGTACCATTTAACATTCCCATTAGATGTATGAGTTTCAGTCAGCATGAACCTTTGACTTATGAAAATTTAATATTAGTTGGTAGCTTTACACATTTCACTGACAATGAAAGTCCTTAGAACACCTTATCTCCATCTCAACTTACATACACTGCATTAAGGTCTAGTCTTTTATTCTAAATATGTCATATATCCAATAAGCTGCTGTTATTATTTTATACATTCAATTGACATTTACCATTCCCCATATATTTATTATTTTCATTGTTAAAATGCATCTTAAACCTTCCTTCTTGGATAATTTTCTTTTTTCTTAAAGAACTCTTAGTGAGGGTTTGACAATAATGAACTCTTAATTTTATTTTTTTATCTGAAAAGGTCTTTATTGTTTCTATTGAAATCAGCTGGTAATCTATCACTATTTTCTTTTCTTTTCTTTTCTTTTTTAATATATGAAATTTATTGTCAAATTGGTTTCCATACAACACCCAGTGCTCATCCCAAAAGGTGCCCCTCCTCAATACCATCACCCACCCTCTCCCTCCCACCCCATCAACCCTCAGTTTGTTCTCAGTTTTTAACAGTTCTGAAAGCTTTTGCTCTCCCCACTTCTAACCTCTCTTTTTTTTTTCCTTCCTCCCCCATGTTTCTTTCAGACTTGTTAAGTTTCAGGGATCCACAAGGTGAGGTGAAACCATATATGGTATCTGGCTTTTCTCTGTATGTTTATTTCACTTAGCACCAACACACCTCCAGTCTCCATCCACGTTGCTGGCCAGCAAATATTGCCTCTTCTCATTGCCAATTTAGTACTCCATTGTGTATATAAACCACAATTTCTTTATCCATTCATCAGTTGATGGACATTTAGGCTCTTTCCCATAATTTGGTTATTGTTGAGAGTGCTGCTAAGACATTTGGGGAGGCAAAAGTTCCTCATGCATCAGTACCCTGTGTCCCTGATAAATTCAAGCAGCATAAGGTCATAGGTGGTCTATTTAATTCTCTGAGGAAATCCCCACACTGGTGCCTCCAGAGCTGCTGTGTGTGCACCAATTTGGTATCTCAAATTCCTCAACAAGAGGGTTCTCAAGCTCCACATCCTCTCACAGCATCTATAGTCTCCCGATTTGTTCATTTTGGTCAATTTGACTGGTGTGTGAGATGATAAATTAGAGTGTGGGTTTTTGATTTGTATTTCCCTTGATGAGAGCTTATTTGAGTACATCTTTCATGTGCCTGTTGGCCATCCGGATGTCTTCTTTAGAGAAGTGCTCATTCATGCTTTCTTGCCCATTTCTTCAATTGCTATTAGTTTTCGTGGAGTTTGGTGAGTTTTTATAGATTTTGGAGCTGGGCTAGCCCTTTGTCCGGAGCATGTCATTTTTGTAAATATCTTTTCCCATTCGTTGGTTGCCTTTTGCTTTGTTGGTTGTTTCCTTTTGCTTGAAGCTTTTGATCTTCTCTTCTCATAAGGTCCCAGTGCAATTAATTTTTTTTTTAATTCCCTTGCCTAATCTATCACTATTATTAGTAATGTGTTTAGGCTACTTTAAGATTTTTCCTTTTGTTTCCAAAAGTTTCATTATTATGTGTGTCTGTTTATGCCCTTTTAATTTATCCTCCTTAGGTGCATAGAGCTTTTTGTAATTGTATTATGTCCTTTATCAGGTTTGGACAGGTTCAGCCATTATCTCAAAAATTCAACGTTTTACACCATTTTCTCATTTTCCTCATTATTCCATTTATGTTGTAAGTTAGACCTTCTAATAAATCATATATTATTTCTCTCTGTCTTCTGCATTTTACATTTTTGTCTTTTCTGTTATCATTCTAGATATATTATTATTTTTTCGAAGTATTGCTGTCCTTCCAACTATATCTAAACTAATTGATTTTTTAA